ACTCTCCCAGCCTGGCCTCAGAGCAGAGGGGCTCCAGCCCTCGGATCATTTTAGTAGCCCTCCCCTGGCCCCGCTCCAACAGCTCCATGTCCTCCTGGTGCTGAGGGCTCCCGAGCTGGACGCAGGGCTCCAGGGGAGGTCTCCCCAGAGCGGAGCAGAGGGGCAGAATCCCCTCCCTTGACGCTGGCCACGCTTCTCCTGATGCAGCCCAGGGTAGGGCTGGCTTCTGGGCTGCCAGTGCCCATGGCCGGCTCACGTCCAGCTTTTCATCCATCAGCACTTTCCGCAAATGTAATTGAAAAGCTGTCAGTAGCAGAGCCAGTTAACACACACACTCTACCACCACCACCATGCCCCCCTCCCCGTTTTCTAGAGACGACCTGTAAGGCTTAAAGAGCTCAGTGAAACCGTCCTGAAACTTTGGAGCGGTGCACATCACCCACCCAGGGCGCGGGCAGCAAGGAAGAGAGGGTTAGCGAAAGGAAGAGCGCTCAGAGACTTTACCAGCCGTGTCTTGCTGAGGATACGTTGCGGGATTTCAGTCGCAAGAAACCTTAGAACAGGAAACAGTTTGCTGGTAAAATGAAAGCTCGACGAGAAAAACAGGAAGCCTGAAGAACCTGAGCGAAGCCTCTGAGCCGCCGGCTCGAGGTCGGGGCAGGAAATCCCTCGTGCAAGCGCTGCAGAGCGCGGGCGCAGCTGGGGGCGAGCAGAGCCTCGGAGCCGCCGGAGGCGAAGTGGGGTTTGACTAAAAGCAAAGCAAGGTAAAACCCCCTTCCACCTCCTCGTCGTTTCGTTAAAGGGAGTCAAAGCGCTGAAGGGAGAGCAACCATGGTTCAGCCTCGAATCAGACACTGTCTCCCTAATCCTCCTCTGTTAACGAAGGGCCTCGGGAACCTGCAAGACATTTAGGAGTTGGACAGGATGCTAACGGCACGGTACGTGCCCTCGTTAAGCAAGAGATGCATAATCACGATGCCTAATTTATCTTTAAGCATAAAGGAAGCCTCGGTGCTGTTTCAACACCTTAGGATACCCTTCAGTATTAACCAAAAGCCAGGTCCCGCTGAAGCCAAAGGACCGTAGGCATCTGGGGATGGGCACTGGCGCCAGTGCTATCCCGCGAATAACTGAGGTCCGTGCTGGAGCCAAAAGCAATAATCCTGAGAGGAGCCAGCGTCGGGAGCTAGGGATGGGGCTTTGGAAGGTGGCGTGGAGAAGCAGCCCCAGCTCTAGGTGCGGGGCGGTAGCTGTGAACGATGCCTTAAGGATCACTCTCCTGGCCTGGGTGGAAGGGTTCGTTCTTAGAATCATGGAATCATAGAATTGTTGAGGTTGGAAAAGCCCTTTAACATCATTGAGTCCAACCATTACACTAACCCTGCCATCCCACCACTGAACCCTGGCCCTAAGCAATGTCCCTTCTTCCATCCGTCCTCTGTGGCCCTCAGCTGGGGAGGAAGCCTGATACACTCTTTTCGTGGAAATTTTTTAGGGGAACTGAGAGCTCTATGTTCGCCTGATCTCTGGAAGCTTCATGGCCATAGCCCGAGGAGGGAATGCTCTGGTCCCAGTTCATGTGGGCTTCAGCCTTGGCTTTGGGAAATCTCAGTCTCAAAGGTACCTGGGGCTTGAACCGTTGATGCCTTTGAAGGGTAACAAAGATAATCTGGCTTTTAGGTGCCAGGAGCTGCCCAGGAACCGCGTGGCCAGAGCTGAATTGCACAGGGTGGCCTTAGCCAGGAGGAAGGCAGGACCCACCTCTGGTGCTGCCTGCATGTTGCCTTCATATTTAGCCTCAGAATCAGGTTCTGCAGCCCTGAACGTGCCCTCTTCCCATTGAGCAGTCCCGGTCATTCACTGAGAAGCTCTATCCCAATCCCCTGCGCCAGCTCACGCATTTTGATGTCATCGATACGCACCCATGCCGTGCTTCTCTGCCTCAGCATGAACCCAAACCAGCAGAACGAGGGCTTGAAAAGCAACCGTCCCCGGGAAGTGGCAATGGTCGAATTGAGCTGTTCACTTGCCAGGTGTTGACGGGCAGAGGGGACACCAAGAATCGCAGCCCACGGTGAACTATGGTCATCTCGCCTTCTCCAGCACGTGATGGTGGGGCCATGGTTGAACATGGTGAGGTTGAGTAGACTCCAAGTTAATGCCCTGCTGTCGTGCCTGGGTGCCAGGCATGGCCGAGTAAAGCTGTACCTACACACCTGCTGTGTTTGGTGCCTTGGAGACACAACTTATTTAATTTGCGAGCTTCAAGGACATTATGTGCATTCTGGAGGGTAAATCAGATGGGGCGAGCATTATGGAAGAGAGAAAAATACGATCGCACGGCACCGCAGGACTGCATTAACACCGTATCATTTACTGCGTGACAGTAAAGACGCGGTGCCAGGGCTTCCATTCATAACTTCATATTATTTCCACAAACTCGGTCTTCTTAACCTCTTCTCACTCACGGGGCGGGGGGTGTCTTCCCTTCCAGCTGGCTGCGCACTCATCATCATCATCAACACCTCCCTTGCACGAACATGGTTGAGGAGAATAACAGGTCCAGATGCCAGGCTGGATCATGAGCCCCAATTCCACTGGGAGCTGGGAGGTTTTTTTGAAGGCCATCCTATCTGGCTAATCAAAAAAATCAGGAATAAACCAGGAAAGAAGGTGTTACTGTAGGATTTCTGGTGTTACTCCGGCGGTCCCGGGAGCTTGGGGAAAGCCGCTCCATAGCACTGTGGTCCCAGGCAGATTGTTCCCCTGGATTAATTCCCTGGAGTCTCCTGCCTGGTGTAGACACTGAAGAATCAAAGCTTTTCTTCTAAGCGGAGCGTCGATCTGGACTTCTGAAGGCTGGGGAAGAAAAAAACACCCCCAACCCAAGCAAACCTTGGAAAAGGCGGCGCTGCTGGCGTGCGTTTCCCTGCCCACATCCTCAAATGGGATTGAAGCAGCTGTAAGGGTGATGGAAACGAGTGATTAATCTCAATTGCTGCAGGCTCATAATCCTAAGGAATTACTTTTAAAAACGTGGGGGCTCCCCTCAGCCTCCTCTTCTCCAGGCTGAACCCCCCCAGCCCCCCCAGCTGCTCCTCGTAAGACTCGAAGCTGCAAGCGGCAGGGGACGGTGCGTGCATGCGTGCGTGCGTGCGTGCACGTGGGGGTTTTTTAAGTGAAAAGCAGAGGACCAAGCACATGGGTGATCTCCAGGCTGTTTGCCACAGCTGGCCTTTGCTCCCGCCCTGCCGGACTGCGGCGGCGGTGGTGACTGCGCCGCACAGACAGGCAAGTGTGTGGCTACCCCTCGCCTGCGTGAGACGACGCTGCTTAAACCTAAACCAGCACGATTAATAAAACATAACGCCTCGTTTTCCCCCACTGCTTTCACCTCCTGTGCTCCCTTCTCGCATTTTTGCTGGGCTGATGGTTTTCCTACATGCCCTAGATAACTCACTGAGTTTCATCTTCACGGCTCCTTCCACCCGCCTGCTCGTCTTTCATTTTTTATGAAGACTTTCTTGCTCTGCTAACATGCTCTTAATCTCACTGGTAAATCAAGGGGGCTGTTTGTCTTTAGCTCTCTATTTGCTTTCCCGAACACGAAGATAAATCCAGGCGCCGTGCCGGAGCTAGATCAACAAGCAAGCGGATTCCTTCCTTCTTCCCTCCCCATTCACAGCCGCCCACGGCTGGCAGGAGGCTGCGTTCGGGATCGAAGAACGCTCCCTCTCCAATTTCTGGGGTAAAACAACTGGTAAAACAAGTAGAAGAGACTGAGAAATGACCTCTCCCAGGCTCTGCTGGATGAAGCCACGCTGCAGAAAGCTCTGCGATGTGAGGGGACTCCAGGAGCCCAAAGCGGGGTCAGCACAAAGGCTCCCATGAATTCCATCTGATGGGCTCGGATTTACAGAGACCGTAAGTTTTTCCACGTCTTCCTGC